GAAATCTTCGATTGTCTCTACCACTACACACACACACACACACATACATTGTCGACAACCTTATCTGAAGTGACTCGTTAACATAATATAAATAATTCGATTTGAAACATTATTATATATATATATATATGATGATGAAAACCTCTTTCATAACGCTTATAAAATAAATTACGTAAGTATATGTACAACTTGTTCGTTCAATGAGCAATTTATATGTCTGAATATTAATTCGAATCGAATCGAATACAACATAATTTTGGGAATAAGTACACATAGATTCGTTGTAAAGATATCCAACATGAAATTACACTTGAGCGAAGGCATTAATTTCAACACGCGCAAACTGTGCGTCACAAAACGAAACAAGATCTTTTTCCAAGTCCAATCAGATATGATGAGAAAAATGTATTATTATTATTATTATTATTATTATATAGGTATTGGCATAGTATCTGCTCTATTGTAATCGATATATATATATATATATATATATGTACCTAGATGTTAATAAAAATTACGTAGCGTGTTCAGGATTCGATTCGCTCGTCGACAAAACGTGTATAATTCTTTTTCCGTACAATTCTGAGAACATGTTGCTTACACGATCGTCTATAATTATTGTCTATTATCGGATCGCATTAAGTATTTCATCGATCGATCATTGTGCGCAACCCGCGATCTACAACATTAACAAGTCGATCGAACTGTTCGTCAAATTATTGTAAACAGATAATAGATTCGTATTTTTTTTTTTTTTTCGTTTTACATCCGTTTGAAACGTAAGGGGCGAATAAGCGGAATTCCCCCCCTCCCCTCCCTCCCTTCTCTGCTGAAACTACTTTTTTTTCACTTCAACGCGATCGTTTCGCCTCGTTAAATTTCTTTTACTCATCACTTTCGTAATTGGACTTTTTTTTCTTTTTTTTATCTTCGAACGGACCTCGAGCTACCAAGTTCATCAAAATATTCTATACATTTCGATATTATAAAGGTTGTCTGTCCTTTCTTCTTTTTTTTTTTTTTTTTTTTTGTCACTTCAGAATTCACTTTACCATCTGTGGTTAACACATCCTTCGTTAATCGATCCATGGAATGTCGGAAGTAGTATACTTCGTGTACGCGATATCATACAAATTTTCACTTGCACGTGTTATATTCTGACAAGTATGCAAAGAAAGAAAAAAAAAAAAAAGTACGCGATCGTCGTTCGAAAAGAATGGGGAAAATATAAAATAAAAATGCATGTTCCGTCGAACTTAAGAACCGTGAGAGAGAGGAAAAAAAAAAAAAAAAGGAAAAAACAAGTACTAGCATGCATTTACCACAAACATTCAGAGACACATTCGTTGAAATGAAGAAACGTTTCGCAGCACCTTACATATAAAGTATAAACAAGGTATAAACTTCCTCGTGTCGCGATGCTACAAGCTAATTTTAATGCAGTCTAAAGATTTCTATCGAAAGATGCTATCATCTCATATAAGCCAGGCTACCGCGCATCATTAAAGAAATTCTAATAATAAGTACCATTCGTATAACAAGAAGGAAAAAAAAAAAAAAAAAATAGATACATTGAAAAAGGAAAAGAAACAGCTCTACGTGAAAATTTTACGAATACAACGTACAATCATCCATTCATGCTACATTTTACGTTTTAAAATGTGATATTTCGTTATATCAATATCAAAAACTCTTCTATCGAACACAATTTTTCAAAGTTACAACGATATATATATTTATATATTTATATATATAAAAAGCTCGAATAAAACATTTTCAAATAACACGATTCATAACATTCTATATACGTATCACAGTGCATGTATCGATATAAAAATGCATTGTTACGATACAAATCGTATATCGAAATATTTATGAGCAAATGTAAGTTAAAAAAAAAAAAAAAAAGGAAAAAGAATTAATATGAACACGAAAGCAAATGCTACTGAACACACATTATATATATATATATGTATATATTCCACGTTAGAGGGAAACGTGATCGAAATATTTTGAAGAGAAGAAACGGCAAAAATCATTACGCGTTACTGTGATATTTAAAAAAGTTGATTTAAAAAAAATATTCTCTTTAGACTAAACGAGAAGAAATCGATCGGAGAAAGCACTACTAACCTAAACTAACTACTCTCTAATCGTTCTATCTATTTGGCAAGGATAGGAATTCTATGTTACATCTTCGAATTAAAGAGAAGTAAAAAAAAAAAAAAAAAAAAAAAAAAAAAAAAAAAAATAGATATATATAACCTCAGTCCATATGCTCTTCTAATCGATTTGAGGCCGACATTGTACGTCGTCCTAGTAATAGTGATAAAAAGAAAAGTCTTTTCTCGATACGATTTTAAAACGAAATTGTGACAAATGAAAAATTTTGCGAAAAATAAGATCAAGATAGAAACGCAAGGTAGAAAAATTATAATATATAATTATTTAAGGTTAAGTTACTGGTTTTAAATAATGGTATTAATATCTTCTGAAAATATTTTTAAAACGAGTCAAACCTCGAATCGATTAAAAATATATTTAAAAAAATAAAATAAAATAATAACTACAATAATTCTCTGATTCCTAATAATCTAAAAATTACTGGCATATAAAGATAAAGGTCTACTGTCTCTTTTAGACCTATTCTGTTTCTCTTGGTCATTCACGTTCTGTTGATTTTCAATTGCCAATCTTGGATCAGAATAAAACGACCTCATCGGTTGTTCGCGAACATGATCGATAAAGACTCTAGGCTTGTTGGAGGCTTTATTTTGCTTTGCAGCGGCAGGTCGAGACTTGACACGCGGTGATGCAACGGGACTATACTTGGACGAGTGCGGATAATACAATTTGTTTTTCTGATATTTTAATTTGGCAGCACTGTCCAACGAATCGTACTCGTCATAAGGGGACACAGGCCTTTGCAAATGATCCAATGGATTTGAATAGTCGTTCGAGTAATCAACGTACTTCAAATCGCGATTGGACAGATTGGTTCGATCAGTTTTGATCGTGTCGTTTCTGAAGCTACATTTACTTCGTCCAGAGCTGTTAAACGTTTTATCGTTATGCTTTGGGAAGCTGGTATCGTGACAAACGGATTGATGAGAGCTAGCTGTGCCTGCGGGGTAATTTTGAGCGGAATTTTTGTGAGGGTGGGCAGGTGATGGAAGAGCCGAGTAGCTAACGTACATAGGATGCAACGGCGTGTGGCCTGCCAACCAAAGTCATCACCTCCCACAAAGTCAACTGAAATATGACGTAGAATCGATTGCATTAGATCGAATTTTATTGTCTGTGGCATGAGCTTAGTAATTCTTTTTGAATAGAATTAGAACTTAGATGGTAGTATACTTGATACTTAAGTTTCGTTTCAACATGGCCAATGTTATAATTTTTTTTATCTATTTTGCAACATGCTGTATCAATGAAATCAGAAATGGATTCGCGTAATATTATTTATAAATTCCAAGCCCGATAGAAGTTATTTTACGATACATTCGCAAAAGAGTCGATGAATAACGAGAATAATAAATAGGTGCGTATGAAAGAAACTATTTTACTTCGTGCTTTAAAAAAAAGGAGCAAATGCGTGCAACCATGAATCAGGCAAAGCACTTACCAAAGTGGAGGATCAAATCCACCAATGAAATCAACTGTAACCGACAACCCTTTTTTCAAGCAATAATAAATCTTAAACTTACTTAATTAAAAAGAAAAAAAAAGAAAAAAATACCCAGGATAATTTACCATAATTTTTTTCCATAGAAAAACATTTTTTATTGTTTTGTTATTTTGATACGATCTTTATGGTAAAAAGATTTATCATTGCACGTTTTTCTTTTTTGATTTTATAAAAATGAAGAATAAAGTTTAGAATATTGTTCCTAGATCTCATTTACCGATACCAGAATAAAATTTACCACAGAATGATATTATGAGATTCAAAATAAAATTCTCATTCTGCAAACTAATTCTTATCTCTAGTTTGATTTATACTAATTGATAATTAATAAAGGAAAAAAAAAGGTCTATGAGTTTTATACTTACAGCTATCATCTTCCTCCAAAAAAACTTTACTTAGATAAATACCACCAACTATTGCAATAAACTGGAATAAAAGAAAAGTATTATTTTAAATGTTATAATTAATATATGATAAATTATGATACGGTAAATTTTAAAAATTGATAACTTACACCTAAGATGCATTGAGTAGATGCGTGTAAAATTTCAACTATTTCATAATCTAGTACACAATCTGTTACATTTGTAGGTCGGGCAGGTCGAAATAATTCTGGTTCAGTAACATCATAAATAGCTTTGCAACCTGGTCCATTGACATGCCACCAAGAAAAACTACCAGTACCAAGATTTAAAATATCACTATTCTGAAAAATTAATTACATATAAATTAAAAATTGAAAATTAAATTAAAAAAAAATTATATAAAAAATTAACACTTACTTTATCCAATACACCTACATTAAGATAGAAACATATCATAAATATATTCCATCCTAACCATAGTGTATTCCATATACAGTACTGAAATAAGTTTAATATAAAGATAATTATCCTTATCTATTGTATAAGAGATATTAATTAAAATAAAATTGCACTTACAGATATAATATATTTTGGTCTATACTGAAAAGCCCCAAAAAATCCTAAGATTACAAATATAATGTTAAAGAAATTGACCAGTATCGGGGCCCACATAAAGCCCAGAAAGTCGAAGACCTGACGTTCTACTGTAGTGATCTACAAACAGAAATTAACAATTCTACTTAAATTTAATAAAATAATTAAAAATATCTTAATATTAATCTCTTTAATTTCTGTCAACTCTATTTTGCCTATGTTCTTAATCTATATCAATTACTCTGTGTTCTAAATACCCAATTAATCTAATGTTCTAAATATGAATGTTCCATGAACCATTTCATTATTTTGCTTGCTTTTAAGTAAAAAACTTATTTTAAATAATGATCCATTATTTCGATTATTTAAATTTTTAATTTATTAAAGCCAAATTAATAAAAATAATTACTCAATAACATTGAATCTATAAATTTTATTAACGTATTGTGTTTGCATCTATTGCATTTCATTTCTTATCAATTGAATTTTTTAATTTGCAAAAAACATCTTCGTAATGCAATGTAGAATTTTATTGACGCTAATCGACAAGAAAGCGCTTAGAAAGTAAGTAGTAAAAGCGGATGTTAAATGGATCGCCCAGTTTCTATTCGAGGATTTCTATTTTACAAAGATAAACCACGCGACCCATGGATCGATAAAGCGATGCGATAATCGAGCAAGTGTAATTGTTTCATCGAGGTCTGATATCGTCGATAAAATCGTTCAAATCGTACGGTTCGTTTACGCGTAACAAACCGCAACGTAATATATTTTAATTCTTAGAAAATATTTAATAATTAAAATCTTTCCAGCAATCAAATCTTTTCGTGAGAATATCAAACTATGAGTCAGCGCAAGAAAAATGAGAATTGAGCGTGTCACAGGATGATGACAATTTCCTTTATCAGGAATAAAACATTTTTCTTTCGATGACACTCACGAGTTGTAAGATGCATATTGTCAATAGGAAATGCCTTCGATTACAAATTCCCATGTCATTTGGCCAGACGGATGTTTTAGCGTGCGAGGCCACGGTTTCTTTGGTCACTTGATATGAACGATCTTGTTGCGCGTTAACTGCATCACTGTGGCATGTTCTAATGCGCCGCCATATTCCCACGACACTTGTTCCGTCCCTTTCTCACGATCGACTAGTGCAAGTGACATGCATCATACTGCACAGTGCTGCTCACAGTAACGGTGACAAAGACGATGACAACATAGCGGCAATTTCAAATTTAAAATAAAAATTTAATTGTTCTTTTCAAGCTGAATATTAATTATCAATATTAAATATTAAAATCTTGTTCAATAATTTATAACGTGTATATTTTACGAGAAATAATAGATAATTTTTATACAAATCTAACAAGATTTTAACAAAATTAGAAATATTTAAATTTTTATTGTCTTTTTAGTAGAATAAAAAAAATAGTAATTTAGATAATGATTCTTCAAATAATTCATTATAAATCAAATGATTAAATTAGTTTATAGTTTAGTTTCATGTCTATTTCTATTCCAAATATGTTTATTTATATATTAAACTCACTATTGTTTATATTATCTTCAAAAGTGTAAATATTGCTTATAATAAAGCCAAAAATTTAGAAATTTGTATTCGTATTCGGCTCGGCTTCGAATCGAACTGCCGAGTAAATATCCCCTCTCCAATTCGATAGTTGAATTCGCAATCCGCGATGTTATTCTACTGATGAAAGTCGCAGGTATGGGACGTGTATTGTAATACGGTATTGTATAACCTATTTTATGCGTAGTATAATATTATTTTTATTACATATTATTTTTATTTTTATATATTACTTTTATTGTCTTTATACTATCGTTTAATTAATAATTTTATTCAATAAATTTTTCGAATATTATCATAATTGATAATTCTTTAGCAATTAACTTATTTTTTTTCTTTTCTTTTTTCATTCATCTATTTGATCATTGGAATGATAGAAAGTTTATATTATATATTATTGGTTTTTAAAGAACAATTTTTAAATTTGATTATTGCTTTTATTTAATGTTTTAATATTTTATATAATGTTTAATCGATTTTAATTATTTTAAATATTTATTTTAAAGTTTTATTTATTTTTTTTTCTTCCATACAGATAATGTATGTATTTATATTTGCTGGTTGCTACTATAACTTTGAAGGCAGAAAAAATTTCAATCAATTGGATCAATAGATCATTTTTTAATGATATCTTAAATTGTATTTACCTTTAAATAGAACATTTTTTTTTTAATTAAACTTAATATTAGGTTAGATTATTTTTAATTAAGGTAAGGTAAGATTAATTTTATATATAAATAGAAAAATATTGATCAACATTGTTAAAAAATAATGTTATTTAATTGGATAGTAATAATAAAAATAAATTATAAATGAGTAGTGAAATTTCTGTACATTCCATCTTATTATTAAGAATTAATCGATTTCTTCTTCTTTTTGTTGATTTGATTCTCTCGATGGTCCTGTAATATGTAAGGTGTTATACATATACATATTATATACGTGTGTTTGTACATACAAAAGTGTTTACCTATAAAACTTAATAATACTGGTAAGAATATCAAACCATGCGCAGCACCGAAAACTACGATACTTAGATACATTCGGAAAAAGAATATTTCGAAAATTTGAGTTTTAGCAAATGCCAGTATCACGATTCCTATAATTTTGGTCAATGTAATTCCAGAGAATACCTATAACGAAAAAAAAAAAATATTATTAATTAGAAGATTGATAAATACTTACAATCTCAAATTATTCTACATACTGAACTTCCTGTATAATTAAGTGTATCAGACGCACGTTCAATTTTAGTTTTCTTCTTTGATTTTAAATACGAATGTATAATGTGACTGCAAAATTCCACAGATATACCAACAGACTGTAAGTGTAAAGTTGAAATTTTAATCGAATTTAACTTTTTATTTTTTTTATGTAATTCGTTATTAGCAAATAAGCGCTATATATATATATCCTTATGTTGCCATACCACAACTAAATTAACAAGAGAAACTGCATTTAATTCTATATGCCACCAATACATAAGTCCGCCAATGTTTATGATGATCATGCATACTGTCAATAATACCATTATAGCCGAAAATAAGGATAATGTTAGAATCAATGTCACTACGAAAATGACACAAAGAGAGTAACCCAATGAAATTAATGTTTCTCTCCATATCGTAAGATATTGTTCGTAATAGACATAGAATACACTGTAATAAAAAAATAATCGATACTATAATTTTCATTACATTACAATATATGCAATATATGGATAAAGTAGAAGAAATTCAAAAAAATTCGAATTTGACAAAATTGAAGAATAAATATTTCAAAATGTATAGAAGCATAATAATAAAATATGGGCAAACCTGTATGGAAATACAGTTACATCCTTGTATGCCAGACTATTTATCATAATTGTAATATTATCGGCAATATTTCTGGCAAATCTTAAAGCTTCGTACCAATCCGATGATTTTTTTAACGGGGTATGATATCCCATGAAATAACTGTCTCTGACATCTATTAATCCGTTTTCATCCGTCTTATAATTCAACGCCTGCGAGTTTGTAAGTAACGATTTCAGAAATGTCGACGAGAATAAAAGGAATTGGCTAAATACGTATCCGTAATTCCAGTGAAAATATAGTTCTGAAATATTAAAAGATAAAAATCTTACATCAAAATATGCCGCTCGACCAGCTTTTGCACATCTTTCGTCCGGAATATCTTGAAGAAAATAAGGTAAATATTTTCGAAAATCATACTCGGTCGGCCGATTGTAATTTGTAATATTGATTTTGCAACTTTGGCATCCTTCGACTACGATAAAATATAATATTATAAAAAAATTTCGAAAATTAAAATGGTAATATTGTGAAAAAAAATGTGGAAATTGGCGATAATTACATTGCGAGTGTGGACAAAATGATTCGTTTGTTTTAAAGTATTTACAACAATCGGAAATCTGCGACCAATCTATGTAATCGTCCAACCAAGATGAAGCTGCTTTCGATAAATATGACCTACGATCGAATAAATTGATTAGCAATGAAATCGGTGAATAGTGTTAAAAATTAATTCGTGTAAAATATTATACAAACACTGCAGGTTGCTTAGATGCTGAATAAATTTGAGTATACAGAGAATCGCTGTTACATCCTTGACCACCACAAATTATATTTTGTTCTACACGATTGCTGTAATTCAATCCAGGTGTTACTATAAAGTAAACAGGTGGACCCATCGATAGAAGATCATCCATAAACTGGAAAAAGAAATCGATCGATCTTTTATCATATCATTGCTATTATCGTTATTGTTCAAATTATCTCTTCGTAAGTATCGGTAAGTTACATGTACATACGAGCACACACTGCATATGAACATTATTCTAATATTCTACATTATGCATGTAGAACATTACCTCGAAGTATTTCAAAACGTAAGAATCTTCGGGCATCGAAAGTTTTTGCTCCAATCCTACATTAATTTGTGGCACTATTACGATATGCATTATCAGAGAAAGGAAAAATATTACCAATACGATTATTCTGACCGGCGTTTTCATAAGAAATGGTGTGTAATAGCGTTCAAAAATCGTATACACGAAATTGAATTTTTGCCCGATCAAAAAATTATTCTTATCCGTTTTCACGCAACAAAGCACATCCAAATATGTTTTCTGAAATATGAAATGAAAATTTCGTTGAAAAATTTGAAATTTTTTTTCTCTTTCTTTCTTTTTAGAATAAATAAATCTTACCTCGAATCTTCGCTCGTGGAGCGACAAAAGGCAGACGAAAGCTGTTATTTGCAGCAGAAAATTGATCAAGATCGATACCGATGCATAGAGTGCAAAAGTATTTACAGCAGGCATTGTCGATAATGTTCCTAAAAATAAGAATTACAGATATACACGATATATGAATAATAAATTAAGTAACTGACATATTATGATTATGAAAATCAAACTATGGATCAACTGACCGATCAAAAAACACAAACACTCGGATATACTAGTGAGTAACATCGACGGACCAACTTCTCCCAAGATTCTTCCAACGTGATCGCATATGGGTTCGTCGTCGCATTTTGGATTTCTCTCGTACGTGTGAATCAAAATAAAAATATTGTCTACGCCCACAGCCAATACCAAAAATGGAATTACCTGTAATACATATGTATTATACGGAATGTATACGGGAAAAATTATTTTACATTCGATATTTTTCGATACTCACTTCGATGGTGAGGAGTGTCGTTGGCACTCCTACGTAACCAAATATACCAAGAGAGCAAGCAACCGATGCTATTACAATGACAACACCTCCGACGCTCAACATTATTTTGCTGTTTGCCTGAAATCGATTATGAAAAATTCGATTCGACTCGAGAAATATACATTTCGAGTCAAAAAAAAAAAACTTACGAAATATTCTTTCACGGAACATTTTATCTCGCTCAGAGCCAAGGACACGTAAACGAACATTATCACGTAACTGATCACCACTGTTACTGCCTCTGCTCTCGATGATCGTTCCAACTCATCCTCGATCGATCTTTCCGTTGTATACGCGATATCCATGAACTCTGGTCTCTCTTTAGTGTCCCATTCTTTCATAAAGTCAATGAACCTAAAAGAAGATTTTTGGATTGAATCGCAATTCAATTTTTCAATCCATGAAATATTATCTGTACTATATATTTTGGACTCTGGTACTTATTGTAGCTGATGTCATGATTTTGTCATGATTTTTGGAAGAATTTTAAATAAATTGATAATATTATTATCAAATCTCGATCATCCGTAATAAAGTAAAGAAAAAATATTGTTTAAACCTTTTTTCGGATATCTTTATACATTTATTCGAAAAGTTCACAATAATATTTATTTCTTTAATATAATATTCAATTCATCTTAACATCAACTACAATTCTAAAATGATGAAAAATATATACTTTTTATTGAATCGACATCATCATAACTTTTTTTTTGTAAAATTTAAAATACCCTATATATTTACCTCTGTTCCCATTTGCGAGCCGATTGGAGGACAGTTTCGTCCAGCGAGTTTTTCACCAGAAATGACAAGATTATACCTGTCGATTTAATGTAATCTTCCGGCGCGTAGTTAAATTCACCTTCGCGTAAAAATCCTCCGTAAGCAAGTGCAGGAAAAACTGGGCCTTTGTACGGCGCCATACACTCGTCATTATATTCATTTCTTGAGGAAAGAAGAATGGTGAGCAGACATGTGTCGAGAATTTTTTTCTCGCTAGTAATTTTTCACTCGTGATGCAAAATAATCAAAAGTATTGGGTTGTTCGGAAAGTAATTTCGTTTTTTCACGCGAGTGTCGCTAGTCTAACGTTTATCCAGCCAACTTCATTCTAAACCGTATTGTTATTATATATATTTTGAGAGTTGGCATTTCATGGTTTATTTATAAGAAAAATTCGTTTGATTCTGTGCGGTTGTGCTTTTAGTGTGTGATAACAACAAGATGCAAGACCAAAAGAAGCATTTTCGACATTTTTTTACTTCTTATTACCAAAAAGGTAAGAATATTTCCTTTCAAACAAAAACAAAAGTTATGCGAAGTCTATAGAGAAAATGTATTAACAGTACACCAGTATCAAAATTAGTTTTCAAAATTTCGATATTAAAAATGCGAAGATCACGAAGATCAGTTAAAACTAAAAGTTGAAGATAAAATGAAAACAACTCGAGAAATTGCTACGTAAATTTGTCGAATTCGAGTGATCATGATCACGTAAAGCGATATAGTGTTTCATCAGACAAAAAGAAACGAAATTACTTTTCGAACAGCCCGGAATATTTTTCGGGCGAATGGATCGAGATTGAGCAAATTTTGACACGTATTCATACGTATGTTTACACTTGGTTCACACTTACTGGGCACATTTGTACAAATGATTCAGATAATTGATTTCGTACGCGCTCGAGTTGTCCACTTTGTTGAACGATTTGAGATCGTTTTGAAAATAACCCCATACGCTTTGCACTGTGCACAAGTCCAAAGTGACAGGTCCTGTGAAATCGTTTTGAACGGGAGCGTAGCAAATCCGTTCCAAACCTTCCCCTTCTTTTTGCCCGAGCTAAAAATTGTTCCATCTAGATTTCTTATCTATTGAAAGAGACACGTGGATGATGCGCTTATTACATATATGTACATATTATATTTACTTGCAATATTTTATGTTGTAGATCGTATACAGCGAGCAAAAATTCTTTGTTGAAGATTGGACCAAACTCGAGACGACCAGTCGTTGTATCGTGATATATCTAGGCAAGTGATGAAATCATATGAGTGACGATGTAAAAGAGAGAAAGAGAGAGAGAATGATTTTACCTTATCGAGACCCACGGATTTGATGTAAATTTGCTCAGTTCTGTAGAAAGGTTGGAAATGAGAATCAAAATAATTTTTCTCGATCCTTGCTCTGCTGGTGGATGCTGCCCAAATCTCTATAGGATTGCTCGTTATCGAGAGATATTTTATTCCGAAACTTAATCTCAATATTATGTATACGAATATTAATAAAAATATTATTGGATATTTTGCGAATGCTGTAAGAAAACGTATAAAACATTATTATATTTATATATCGTAAGACAAGAGGGAGTAAGAGGAAGAGATAGATATTTACGTAAAAAAAAAAAAAAAAGAAAAAAACGTTAATTAATCGATCAATGTTACGTGATCGAAAAAATATACGTACTTTTGCCCCAAGTGGTGAAAAATATTTGAAATATCTTGCTCAAGGAGAGCAAATGAAAACAAAAACCAATTTTTATCTTTATAATATATACGATCACAAATATCAAGATGAGTGCAACGATTACGATTGCTGTTACAATTCCATAACCGTTCAATCCGAAAAGGAGGAAACCGTCATTTTGTTTTTGTATCGTAACGACCGGGCAAGATGTTGGACAATCGACGCAGCTACACGGGGATGAACCCTGAATCAATTGAAAGCCTCGAGTGTTAGTTAAAAATATAGAATGTCTATATCTATGAAAGATATTCGAATAAATTAAATTTTTTTTTTAGAAATTAAATACACTAGAGAGGGACAAGAATTTGAAATACTTTGGCATATATATATATATATATATATATATATATATATATATATATATATATAA